GTGGGATTCGAACCCACGCCTCCGAAGAGACTGGAGCCTAAATCCAGCGCCTTAGACCGCTCGGCCACACTACCGACTCGCTGGGGGTTTTCCGTGTGCGCCAGCTATTTACATTATTCCATTCGCCTTTGCCCCGCGCTCTGAGACTCAGGGTTAAAGGACTTTTCCCTCGCGTCGCCTTCCCGAACCGCTGGCCTGGCTCTGGGGTGAGCGGGCTGGAGAAACTATCCCCGGAGGTGGGTCCTGCCACCCCGCCGTCCGCCCCGCCGCGGGGTGCAGCTGAAGCGCCCCTCCCTCCCACGACCTCCTTCCCCCACCGGCTGGGCGACCCCGCGTGTTCCCCGGTCGCGGTCTCTGCTCTCCCCTGGGAGGGTTGGGGGTTTTCAGCTGTTTTGGTGGCCTGGAACGGGGTCCCTCCTCTGGTTTTGGATTGAGCCACCTCAACAAAGAATGGAGGGTGGTGCCGATAGGCCCAAAACTTCGGGAAATCAAGACTGGCCTTGAACGAACCTATCTGAGGAGGGAGAAGAAACGGGAAGTTTGCCGTCTTTCCTACCTGTCTGTGCTTCCTTCCCCTGTCTGTCTAGCCCCTAATTCCTCACTTCCCGAAGACTAGACAATTGCTATTGCTTCTGAATCTGTCGTTCTGCCCAAGAGAAGGGGTTTTACTGCCCTTGTGAGCAGAGGGGGTGTCTTGTTCTTTGAAAGACACCAAGAGCCTAGAAATTTCCAGTTCAGAGAGATCGCCCCATCCTCGGCCCAGAGACGCGTTTATTAGCTTCCTTCCAGGGTGTATAACTTTAAAAAACTATCTTTTTATTTTGGATAACATGTGTGAGCCCGCAGGAATGTGTGTATTATGTGTGTGCGGGAGGCCTCAGGGGCCAAAAGAGGTCACTGGGTTACCTGAAACTGGAGTTACGGGCAGTTGGGAGCCACCACGAGAATGCTGGGACCTGGGTCCTCGGCAGAGGAACAAGTATCTCTCCAGCCCAAGAGCACTGAACTCTTTGAAGTCATAACTTGGTGAATGGCTTATGTGATTTTTAACTGTTTTAGATTTTGAGGTGTTTGAGATGGCTTAGTGAGTCTTTACTTGGCTTGCTTGCTCACCGGACAATCTGAGTTTCGGTCCCCAGAACCCACGTAAACAAAGGTGGAAGGGGAACTGATTACACAGGGTTGTTCTTTGAGTTCCGCAGTTCTTATCCTGGAACTCACACGCTGAGAGGTCGGTCTCTGACTCCAGGCTCCGGCTGTAGCGTTCAACGGCCCCTGTACAGACACACAAACAGATACATGTTTTAAGGAGAAGAAAATGATTTGTAGAGCCATGTGTCAGGGAGGCAGAAGCCACGGCAAGCAGAAATCTTGCCTTGCCAGGCCAGCGAGGACTGCATAAGGCCCCACCTAAAACACACTTAGGGACTGGAGAGATGGCCCAGCACCCCAGCACCCATATGGCTCACAAATGTCTGTAACTTCAGTTTAAGGGGATCCGGTTCCCTCTTCTGGCCTCCACCACCCTCAGGCACGCATGGGATGCACAAACATACTTGTAGGCAAAACACTCATACATCAAATAAGTACATTTTTTTTTAAAAAGTAAAATAAAAATGGAAGTAACCCTTTGAAAAGTTAATTTTTACTATCACAGTGAGACAGTGTCTTGCTGTGAATCCTTGGCTGGCCTTGATCTAAAGATCCTCAGAGCTCAGACTCTGCAGCTGGGTTTACAGGTAGAAGCTACCGCTCCGGTTTAGCAGTTATCATTTTATTGTATGTAACTCTGTGATACTGGAAATTGAAGCCCAAGATTTTGCAGGTCAGGAAAGACCTCTACCATCCAGCTGTACTCCCAGACTTAAGTTAATCTGATCTCACCATGAACTTAGTTCATGGCCTCTACACACAGGCATATTTTGTCTATGACACAATTCCTGTGACATGCACCTTGTACCTCCTATTTCTCTCACCCATGCCCTGCACCTCTGTCCTTTCCAGATATTCCAAAAATGCAGCTTTCTATTATTTTTCTCCCCTGCAAGTATCAAGGTATGGTTGAGGGATGCCTCCCGTTTCTGTCCACCACAAGTAAAGGCAGCAGACCTTCGCTTCCAGGCCGCTTTCACTCTTCCCCGTGTAGCCCGCGTGGCCCTGTCCTTCCGACTCTCTGGTCTCTCCTCCCTTCCATTTGTTTTGCATTGCTTGGGGAATTTCCGTTTTCTCTTTTCAAAGGGACCTAATGTCGTTCCTGTCTCCTAGCCTGTCTCATCTCTCGTCACTCTGGGGAGGGTGGACCGACCATGCTCTAACAGTGTACCCTGAAATAATTTGGTATTCCTTAGACTTTACTCATAATTTTCTTCTGCCAGGAATCCTCGTCCCCCACCTCCACCCCTACTGTGCAAATACCAGCCTCCACTACCTGAGGCTTAGCCTGCCCTTCCTAAGGGCCCTCCAAATGTGCTTGCAAGTTAGGCTGGCCACACCTGCTTTTCGTTTTGGCTTCATAAAGACTGAGAATGTTTCTCCTCACAAGCCTGTGACAATGACTTGAGATCAAGGACCCAAACCCCAGCTTGGAGAGTTGGCTCAGTGTTTAAAGGTCCTTACTGTTCGCACTGGAGAAAGAGTTAAATTTTCAACAGCCCACAATGACTGTGGCGGCAGTCCAAGGAAGCCTGCCTCCTTTTGAAGGCCAAGGACGCCAGGCACTCCTGTGGTGCACAAAAACAAACAAACAAACAAACAAACAAAACCCAACTGAGAGAGAGATTAACTCGAGGGAAGAAAATAAAATGAGTATGTGAAGTACATTAATTAAAAAGAAAATCTGAATCGCTATCTAGTTTCTAGTGTGGAAGCTAGTACAGGATTGGAGTTGGGAGACTTTGGAGCTTCTTGAGTAAATGCATTAAGTGGCGAACTGGGATTTGCGAACTGAGGGGAAGGTACCTTTTAAGGAGCGTGCGGCGGAAGTCTGGAGTCCAGGAGAGACACCAGATGTGAGAGCGCCAGTTTCAGCCCAGGCCTGTGGTGGGCTTCTTCCCCTGCGCTGGGTTTCTGTTCCGGATTTCACCGTCTGCAGGAGGAGGAGGAGGAGGAGGAGGAGGAGGTGGTGGTGGTGGTGGTGGTGGTGGTGGTGGTGGTGGTGGTGGTGGTGGTGGTGGTGGTGGTGGTGGTGGTGGAGGAGGAGGAGTGGGGATGGTCCCATTTCTCCAAATTTACGATAGTAGCGATCCCCGTCGGACTGTCCCACTATGCCAGTCCCAAAAGGCCAGAGTCTGCAGACCGAATTCCGATACTGCCTATGAAATGGACTAGAACATAATCTAGGCTTGCCTTTTCTGCCTTCAAGGAGGCGAAGGGCCGGCAAATCTATCCTTTTCTAAGAAAGAGAGGAAAGGCCTCCTCGTGTGGCCCTATAGCTCAGGGGTTAGAGCACTGGTCTTGTAAACCAGGGGTCGCGAGTTCAAATCTCGCTGGGGCCTGCGGCAGCTCGAATTTTTGAGCTAAGGGAATTTCTTGAGGAAAGTACGCTGCCGCTTGCTTCCCAAAGCCGGGTTTCTTTTACTCCCGCTAACACACCCCCGGCGCCCCGCGCAATGCGCGCAGGGAGGAAGAGGAGAGGGTGGCCTCCTCGCCGTCGGCACGCGGGGCTGCAGGAGCGGGAGGCCTTGGGCTCCGTCGTCGCCTCACGCAGGAGACCTAAACCGTGGTCTGAGCCCAGCGCGGCGGCGGCGACGGCCCCGGGCCCTGCCGGCTGCGGCGGCATCAGCCCACGCGGTGCCACCCGCGGAGCTCGGGCGCGGGGTCCGGAGGGCCCGGGGTGGGGCAGGACGGCGGCCCGGGGTCCGCGGCTTCCGGCACAGGCCGCCGCCTACGCCCCGCGCTCTGCGGGGCCGCGACCGCTAGGAGGCAGCTTCGCACTGAAAACCTCTTCCTGACGCGCTCCTCCCGTGCTTCCCTTCGATAGCTCAGCTGGTAGAGCGGAGGACTGTAGTGGGACGGCGGCAGTCATCCTTAGGTCGCTGGTTCGATTCCGGCTCGAAGGAGTAGCCTGCCTTTTGGGCTTGCAATGTACTGAAAGCAGACATCTCCGTTCGATGCCCCTGGGTCGTTCGCCCTCTCCATGGAGCGATCGCAACAAGCCTTGCGCCATCACTGCTCGGTACTAACTGTCCCTTATAAAAAAGAAGGAAATGTGAGGCCTCGGCTGCTGGCTCCCTCGTTCACGTTTGCTTTGCTTTTAGTTTCTAATCAGGCCCAGTTTGCTGCCCTGCGTCCAGACACCAAGAAACGCAGGAAGGAACAGAACCTCCCGGACATGCTCCTGTGTTTCAGATGCCCCGACGGCCCGCAGGACTGACCCCGGGGATGGCCCCGTAGACGGGTCCGCCCCCAGCCTCGCCGGCCCCCGCGGATCTCCGCCTGCCCGTGAGGCCGGGCGGCCGCCGGGGTGGCCGCGGCCCGGCGGGACACGTCCTGCGCCCGTCCGCGGCGGGCAGCCCTGCTCTGCAGCCGAGCCGCCCCGGAGCGGCTCGTTGGTCTAGGGGTATGATTCTCGCTTTGGGTGCGAGAGGTCCCGGGTTCAAATCCCGGACGAGCCCTGCTCTTTTAGCTGCTGGAAAAAGTTTGCCGCTCTACAAACTTTCTCGCGCTCCGACAGTCCTGCAAAGGGTGGACGGTAGCATAGGAAACTCTGACCGTTCCTAGGTTCCTGGAGCTACCCCGCGAGCTTCCCAGGTCCCCCTGGCTCTTGGTGCGTCTGCGGCTGGAGTTCCTCCTGGCAGCCATCTGCAGCTGGTTCCTGCGCAGAAACTCACACTGGTTGCCCGCTGGGAGGTTGGGGTTACTGCTTTGGGTTTGGCAGGCGGGCCCAGCCGGGAGGACCGTCCTGGAGAAACGCCCACCCTCCGTTCCTCTGCACCCCGCCCCAATCTGTTTGCGTGGCCAGGCAACGCCGACCTCACCGATTTCCGCGACGAGATTCCCAAGCGAGCTTCGCTTCTGCTGTTCGGCATCCCGCTGGGAAAGAAGGGGTGAGAAACAGCCGCCGCCTCCAGCTCCGCGGCCAGGTAGGTTTCTGCTCCTGCCCCTCCACAGTTCGGCCATGCGTAGGGGCGATTGTGGGGCTCCCGGGAGACGACTTCTGGGGTCTGACTCCGGGGCTGAGCTGTGACTTTCCGCGGCTTGGCAGCGTCCTGCGTGGATGGCCGCTGCCTGGAACCCAGGCTCAGAGCGGGCCACCTGCGAAGGGAGGAGTTGCAAGAACCCTGCGAAGGTTCCCAGGGTGATATCAGATTTGAGAAACAGGCCTGTCAGGCTTGGGCGCTCGTAACTGGTGTTTTCGTTCTTTATTCCCTGCCTCTCCCCTTAACTCATCCCTAAGTGTGTTGTGAAACTCTTGAAGTGTCAACAGCCTCCTCTGTGCCTTCTTACCGGATGCCCGGGATTCTCTTGCTGTTAGACAGCACATCTTTGTTTCGGAAGGAAACCTTGTCCTTACGTTGGGACATCTCCAGTGGGCCAGGGTCTTCCGTCTGTGACGGCAGGAATCTTACAGTCGGTCCGTATGTGCAATCGCTAGAAACGTAATAGCCCTCCGGGCAACTACAGAAAGCAGCCCCAGCTATTCAAAGAGCGCGCACCACCCAGCTGTGAGCCACTTGGCGCTACTCAGAGGCTTTAATTAGGGGAACGCTGTGCTGGTAAAAGGGGGAAGTCAAATGTTTGGGAGATTTGTGGAAACAATCAGTGCTGGTTTCCTTTAAACCATTTTCAGTACTGCTTTAAAAACTAGTTTTGATTTTTCTAGAAAGCATTCTAACGGGGTGTAAAAGTTGTGTCATGCGTTGGAAAACCTCTAGTCACAGGAACGTCAAATGCTCCTTGGTCAATTAATGTCCCTCTCTTGGTTTTTCAGTTTCCTCTTCTGTAAAATGAAGGTTGAGAGACCCACACAGGCTGCCCCTGTCCTCATCCCGAGGGCATAGGTGGCCAGATGTTAGAAACACGACTCTGAAGCGTAGTTTAACAGGGGGTTAAACTAGTTAGAAAGTGGGCTAGCTCTGGCCAGAGACCAGGCGCGGAAGAGTCACCCGTTCAGCAGTGGCTCAGTTTGTAGGAGCGCGGCCCTGCGTGAGCTTCCCTCTCGTCCTTGCTCTCTCTGCGTCCATGAATCGTTTTTGGAGCTGTCCACTGGGGCCATTATTAGTGAGACTCCAGTCATGGGTTAAAAAGTGCACCGTCCTGGGGCTGGTAAAACATCTCTCGAGATTTTTCACTGTATCTGTATTTGAGCAAAGAGTGATCTCTGTAAACAGTTATTTTCAGAGTGGCTGCAAGCTACAGAGAGTAGGCCCAGTATGCCGAGGAGAAGTGAATGTTTAATTTGTTTCTTGTTTGGAAATGTAGGAATGTCATCAGGACTTTGTTCCCGTTCTCCCTCAGCCAGTGGTGTCCCGCATCCTCAGGGAGGAGCTGTCCTCCCTGACTGACTGAGGGTTGTGTTAACGTTGTAAAGGAATTTGCACAGCGTGCCCACATCTTCGCTCCTAGAGACAGAATCAAACACACACATGCTACATAAAGGGGTGGGATGAATTATTAGGATTATTGGAAGGAGAATTTCATGCCTCATGTGTCCATGGTAATACTACTGGCTTGGAGAAGAGACAGACCAAAAATTCCAGGAAAGGGGAATGGCTTTTAGGAGGTTAAAACTCTTTTTTTTTTTTTAATTGGCAGTGGTTTTATATGAATTAAAATTACTAACAAAGATATGATATTCAGGCCTGGGGATGTGGCTCAATAGTAGTTTATGTATCTTGTGTGAGGCCCTGGTTCTGAGCTCTGGCAACACACACACACACACACACACAGAGAGAGAGAGAGAGAGAGAGAGAGAGAGAGGGAG